TGTACTATTGTAGTTTTTCACACCAAAGAAACTATTCGGTATTTCAGTTAAAGAAATCTCTGTATGAACATTAAAAATAGGGAATCCTAAAATAAAACTAAAAAGCAAAGTAAAAGAGAAAAGGCAATGATGTAACATCAAAATAATCCTTAATTCTGGAGAGATTTTTCTATCCATGGACATGACATAATATGACTTATTTAGGTTTTGTTAAATTTCTTTCAATACTATTTGGTAATTTTATGAATTGAAGTTTTTTTGCTTTTTATTAATTTTATTCCTAGCTTGGTTGTTTGTAATCTTTGATTTGAATTGGATCATTCTCTTTTTTTGGAGATAGAGTCTGGCTATATAGTTGAATTCAGTGGCAATCCTTCTGCCTCAGCCTCCCAACTGCTGGGATTACAGGCATGTGCTACCGTGCCTGGCTATTGAATTGGATCATTCTTAGTTTTACTTTTTAATTGCTTCTTGTTGGTATAGAAATACTAATTGATTTTGATAAAGTCATTCACTGGTTAAGTGTAATAAGTTATCTGTGTATTATATGGGGAATATATACACACATGCATGCATATACGTGTGTATATAAATTGTATTATTAAGATAGCTTGTTTTATCTTTCTAATCCTTATATCATTTTTTCCCTTGCCCCTGCTGCACTGACAGTACCTGTAGTATATTGTCAAAGAAACATTGTAATAAAAGTCATCCTTGTATTCTTCTTAGTCTAAAATTGAAAGACTCCCCAGTAAGTGTAGATTGGTTGGTTATTTATTTATTTCCTTTAGATGGAATTTTAAAGGTTGGCTTCTCTTTGTTTGCTAGCTATACTTACCTGTGTATAAAGGTGTTTAATTTGTTTCGACTACTTTTCCTGCCACTATAATATATTTTCCCACTATGCCCTTCATTTGATAACTTATAATGATAGATTACTTAATATTAAATCATTCCTGAATAAACCTGTTTTATGGTGATATATTAACTTTTAAAAATTATTAGAGTTTTGTTTACTGGGTGTATTTTTAGCATATCCCCCCTTTGCTATTGCCTATATGCCCCCTTTTTTACATTATCAGTTTTAAAAGATCAGTAAGAACTTGGCATGTTTATACATACCTGTCATACCAGCTACTCTGGAGATTGAAACAGGATAATGGCAAATTCAAGGCCAGCCTGAGCAATTTAGAGAGACTTGGTCTCAAACTTTCTAAGGAAAGGATAGGTAGGGCCAGGGATTTAGCTCAGTGGTTCCTCCGCCTGCCTAGCAAGTGCAAAGATCCGAGTTCGATCCAAGTTCTGGTACCAAAAAA